GGCCGGGAATCCCGTCCGGACCAGTAGCTTTGCGTGCGTAAATAAGTAAGTTGGCGTAGTATTGTCTAGAGACTCCTTCATGAATGGAGATGCAGACGGTTTACGAGGTGCACATCGCGGTTTACAGTCAAGAACATGAAGGTCAGATTAGACTTTGCCAGAAAAAAGTCAGCAAAAGAGCCTGCACATCGTGAGCTGAAGCATACTACATTATCTATGTTTTGTTGTGAGCATGGCCAGCACTAGTGTTTACTGATGATGGGATTGCCGATAGACGCGGCAGGATAAACGGTGAAGAGTACAGGGCTACAGTCTCAGCTCAGATTCAGCCAAATGCTGCCAAAGTGATTGTACAGCCCTTCTCAGAGTGAATGAATAATGACCCAAAGTGTTCTGCCAAAGCAGTATACTTAGTGTCAAGTCAGTCACCTGATCTCAGCCTAATGCTTTTTTATTTACTGAAGACACAACCACGCACAAGGTGTCTGCACTCAAGGCTTAGCAGAGGATCTTAACCGAGGAAACATGACATTTGGTGGCTAGTTTATGAATTTTAAGTATTGCCTTACTTAGTCTAATAAACCAAATCTATTATTTTAACTGATTATATCTAAGTGTACAGCCATGTTTTTATTACTTTTTCTTTTTAAAAATACACTTCAAGAGGGGACACGTGCACAAGCACATGCATTTACACATACTTACCTGGATTACCTTAACCTCTTTTGAGTTGCTTTAGGACAAATGCCATATTTATGAACTCACAAGTTTAGGGTAGATGTAGTTCAGGAGGTAGAGCAGGCCATCTACTAATCTGAAGGTTGGTGGTTCAATCCCTGGGTTCAATCGCGGTTCCTCCAGTCCAAGTCCAGGGCCTAATTGCTTCAATGTGTCCCCTGAAGTGTCAATGTTGGATAGAAAGTACTTAAGCATAGAAGAAAAGTGCTTGGGCGAATGAGTCATGCTGCATAAAGTGCTTTGAGTGGTAAGGTGGAGTAGAAAAGCCCTCTATAAGAACCAGTCCATTTACAGTTTTTCTACTTCATGCTCATTTATGTCCTTCACGTGAATTTCGTGTTGTTTGTTATTTCCAGTTATTTTCTGCTGGTATCTTTTGCCGGGATTCACCACAGTTCGATGACCTGTTTGGCTTCTCGGTGGGGGATGTGCTGAATGAGGTGAAACGAGGAAGCAAGCTGGTAAATATATTAGAAATTGTGTGATTTAAAGTATAGCACGCACTGGGAGCAATGTTTAAATGTCTTACTCCTTTGTTTGCATTAGACCTGTAACCACTGTAAGAAAAGGGGAGCCACTGCTGGGTGTGAAGTCAAACGCTGCAAAAAGTCCTACCATTACCCGTGTGCTCTTAAAGAGGGAGCGACGACTATTGAAGATGATGACCATGGGCGCTATGTGTCAGTTTAACAGATCTGCTTAATTGCCTGTCGAAAAAGATATTCAGTTATCCTAAAAATAAAAACTCCTGCTGTGCACTGCTTGGGACAATTGTAGTTGTCTAAAAATGTGTTTTATGTGTTTTTCTAACAGGATATACTGCTCATCTCACTCTGAGCAGCAAACACGTAAGTTTTGAATTTTTATCCTTTATTTATTCAGTGTATGACAGACTTTGATTTTCATTTTTATTTCTCATGACCAGAAAAAAGCACTTCCACAAATGAGTTTGCCTCTTCCACCAAAAAGCCCAGAACCTCCAAAAAACTCAAAAACTCCCCAAACCCCAACGCACCCGGACCATCTAAGGTTAGATTTATGGATTTACTAAAACAGACTTTTGGGGGGCAGAGGCCCCCATCTCTCTCTAGCAGCTTGATCCTGCAGTTTTGGGTTTGTTGTTGTTTTTGTGTGTGTGTGTGTTTTTTTTTTTTTAGTAATTTCAACAAAAGGCCAAATTTTGCTATGTGAAGCAATGTAGCATGGATCGCAAGAATGCACAGATGGTAGTTGATTGACTAAGATTTGCTAACAATGCTCTAACTGATAAACACAGACCCGAACAGTTAATTTCTGTAGTTAACCAAATGGGTCAAAATTAGTAAATCCCATGAGGAATTAAGCAAAATAACAGTGTAAGCGCAGACTTTACACATGCATGTCTGTGCGATTTCCTACATCAGCAGTTGGGGAACATACTCTAGTCAGACTCAGTCAAAGACATGACCACAAGTCTGATGATACCATTACAAAATCAATCATCAATTCAGCCTTATTTGTGTATCACCAAAGGACAACAACGTTCACTTTAGAGTATTTTATATTGTAAGGTAAAAGTGTGTACAGTAACACATAAGCAAGCATTCGGTGACGGTGAGAAGGAAAAACTCCCTTTTAACAGGAAGAAACCTCCACCAGTGGAATGGAGCCAGAGATTATCATCATTAACCTGCGAGCTATGTGGTGCATTTGTGTGTGCGTTCTCCTCTGTTATAAATAACCAATACGTTTTGTTTTCATGAGGTATGTTGCCTAACCTGTGAGAAGAGAGAAGGTAATATCAGCTTGGAAAGTTTGTCTAATAGCATTGTTATGTGAGTATTTACAAACATCTTTTTTCTTCCTTTTTTGACTTATTTGTCTGTGGTTTAATTTTTCTGTTTTTTTTTATGTATCACATTGTAATTAGCAGATGTGTGTTTTTAGGTCATATTGTGACAAACATGCTCCTGCGTCACTTAAGAAGAACACTGACGGTAAGTGTTGCTCAGAGAGATTGACATTTACTATGAAGTCGTTATTTTTTCCCCATTGTGCCAAATACTAAATAGCTTTGTAATTGGCAGGAGAAGGTACCGCAGCTGGATCCTCTGTACACAGCTATGACTCCAGCTCATCTAACAGTACAATGTGTAGTTCTTCCAAGGTGTTGTTCACAGTCACTTAAAGTTTTTTAGTTCTATTTTCAAGTTTGCTTGTTATTTTTACAGTTTTTTGTCTTTGCTTTTTAAACAGAGACAGTTGAGTGACTGTGACAAGTAAGTATGGGATGCTCGCTATGTCTTGAACAATAATTTTACGTTCAGAATTTTGGCTAGAATATCACCCTTATATCTAATATGGTAGCTTAAATGCTCATTTTAAAAGTCTGTACAGTTCGATCCATCGTTCTTTCTTACTTTAAACAACTTCACACTTAAAACCCCAGTTGTTTTTTTTTCACCCACAAAACAAGTCAGGAACTCAAGTGGTTCTATATAGTCTTAAGTCATTGCTCATTTCTTTATATTTTGCTAGGAAATGGGAAATAGGCCCATTTTAGACCTGCAATATTGGATAAGGAAAAGAGAATGAATAGCTGGAAATGTCAATGTATTCTACAGGAATAATTCTCCAGGCTTCTTGCCAATCAGAAACCTTCCAGGTGGTATTGTATGGTGGATGAAAATCTGCCTTTTCTAGATTTATGTTCCATCGTTTTTGGCAAAATCCCCAACGCCACTGGCTGAAATGCAGCCACAAATTATGACCGACCTACACCAGATCAGTGTAGACTGCCCCTCTCTCCTGACCTCCTCCAAACATACTGGACAACATTTTACCAATTTGAATTCATTACTCCATAAGACCTGTTAATTTCCTTCCTGTTTCGCATCATTAATAATGGCTTTTTGATAGCCACACTGAAACCATTTCTGATGACGCTTTAGTGAACAGTAGATGGATCATCTGGACCAGATGCATCTCTCAGGTCTTGATGTGACGTGACATGACTTGCCCATACTGGAAGTACTGTGCATCTGCTGTAGACAGCTTTTATGTGTGCCCTCCATGTGTGCCGTTTCCTCAAAATTCTTTTAAGGATACACTGCACACCATGTTGAGATTTGCCAGGTTTTCAGCTACAATCTCTTTGGGAATAACCTTGCTGGTGCAAAAAATATATATATTTTATACCCTTTAAACTGTTTTACACATATTTTATACCAATCCTTGGTATTTTACATAGATTCAACTAAAGAAGTGGAAACAAATTATGGGGGTGGGGGGTGTTTGCAACAGGCAGCTAGTAACAAAGTGCCTGAAAATACAATTTCAAATGGGTTCACTGGTTTATCCCTTAAGGTAAGTGCACTTTTTAAGCTTGAATGATTCATAGATCCGTGTTAAGGGGTTTAACAAACAAAAGAAACATTCATCTGAAAATGCCCAGGTTTAAGGACTGGACTGGAAATGAGCGATAAAGCAACCAAAACTTTGAAAGACTTTAGAAAGCCTGGAGAGCTAGTGCTCAAGATCACTTTAAAAAAAATAACAACAAACAACAAAATAACATTTCTGCTTGACAATATAAAGAAATGAGAAGAGCAAATTGTGTCCTGTTGGTTACAATAAAAATGGTGCAAACCTTGCAAACAGTTGTGATGATTCCTTACCTTTGTTACAGGCGGGAGGAGACCCTCTTGAAACCTAAGCTTCGCCGGAAGAGGAGACTCTCTGATTCTTCAAATTCAGGTCAACCCCGTTGCAAGGGAAGAAAATGTAACCTCTGTGGGCTTATCACTCTAGCTAACAAACCCCTTTCTTTTATCTTATATATATAGTTGACAATGACAATAACACTCCAATGGATATATACGCCCCATTAGAGTC